GATATCGTCCTCTTTTGGAAGACCAAACAAAGTAGTTTCGCTTTCACAACGAAACACACAGCGCCTTCACGACATCGGCAACAATACTACAGCGAGAATAAAAGTTATGCCTTCTTTCTTTGCGTGAACATTTGGGCGGCGTTATGTAAATCTTCCCACACAGTGATGTAGACATGTGGGGGCGTGTTAGAACGAGCCGTTTTAGGTAGGCGTGGTTAACTCTTAACTTTTATAAAGAATATCTCTTTGGATTTGAGACTTTAGTCTTTGCAACTTTACAGATCTTCTTTATGCACCAAGAGCTTGTAACACTCCAAAGAGAAAGGAAAACTTGAAATCGCATCATATGACCCCTTTAAATTACCTATTGCTTATAACCTCTCTGCTCTATTTCACATTCTATCAGATTATAGTTTGTCAGCTAGTGCAAGTATAATTTAATTTCCAATAACATTTCCGTTTAAACACCAAACTAATAGGGATAATGTACAGTCAAGTTGAATGCCAACACAAGTTTTTTTTTTTGAGTTTTTAAAAGTTGATCTTGAACATCTTTTTTGTTGTTGTTGTTTTATCTATCTACAATTATATTTTAACCTGGATTTCAACATGTAAATAGCAGCTGGCATTTAAGACAACACAAACAGAGGTAAAACCGTTAAAAAAATATTTGTTTGGTTTAAATGATAAAACATTAGAAGAGGAAATCAAAATGAGATCAAGCAGTAACGTGACACCTTCTGGTAAAAATGTTGTTAATTTGATGGCTTCATAACTTTAACGTTTCATGTCATAATTCAACTGTTTGTTTCATAATTATCACTTTATGTTATAAATCTGACTTATGTCACCATTTTATTTAAACTTTTTGTCATAATTTCAACTAATGTCAAAATATGACTTTTTATCTCATAATTTCGACTTTTCATGTTACACTTTAGAATTTTTACCAAAATATGTTTAATTATTATTATGCTGTGCAAATGGGCTTCAGTATCAAATGAAACCGAAGATGTCGAGCAATGAAGATGAAAGCTCTAAATTATTTTACAAGCTGTAGACAAAGAAAGAGTTCTGCAAGATTGTTTGCTTTATCTGTAAAACATTCTTGGTCTATATAACCTATAGTACTCCACATCATGCTGTTATCAGGACAAGTAAAAGAATAATCCAAATTGAACTTTCCTGTGATTAAACCAAAAGGTATCTTGAGGTGGGACTGAAGCCCATAGGTGGAAGTGATTAGAAAGAGCCTGGCTTTAGACCAGAGTTCAGGGTTTGGAATCAGCTCATAGGACAACAGCAGACCAGCAACCAATGAGAACCAAGAGAAAGGCCATGAATGCGATAAGCTCGAAAAGGCTTCTGTTCTAGTGTCAACATGATCAAACATGTTTGCTGCCACATGAGAAGGAACTGAAGTTTTACTACAAAGAAGAACTTTTGGCTACTGACTTTTAAAGAGTCCCTGTGGAATAGAAAAACCAGAGGACAACGTGAGGAGAAAAAGGAGTTTGACTGGATTTGTTGACATTTGTGGCACGGTGAAATTGCACAAAGATGCTCGGAAGAATGCAACGCCGTTTCTAAAAATCAGAATCATTGGAAATCTGAAAAAACAAAGAAATTTCAAATGAAAACAAAAACAAATGAAAATTCCTGAGTTTCATCATGTTGCATGTGGATTTCAGATCTCTGATTCTGCCTATTGGCATTGTTCGGATGGTGGAGGTGGTTCTAACATGCATCTGCTTTGCATTGGCGGCATCAGCGGGAATCCCAAATGAAGCCAAGTCCCATTGGGCTTGGTCCATGTTCTGCTGGTGCTTCTGCTGTTTCACAACCCTCCTGATCATCATTTTGGAGTTTACCAACCTGAACACCAAAGTGCCCATTTCCTGGGAAGACTTCACCATGGCTTTTGCTATGTTGGCTACACTTATGATGGTCACCATTGCAATCATCTACCCCACGTTCTTCGCCTGCTCCTCCTGCTCCAGGCAGATCGGGGCGTCTGCGGTGTCCTGGTTGTGTTTTGGGCTGTATGCCGCCGAGGTCTGGTTGGTCCACAAAAGGCCTGGTGAAACTAGCGGCTTTCTCACCACCATTCCTGGTCTCCTCAAGATCCTGGAGACATTCGTCACCTGCATCATATTTATGTCTTTGAGTCCCATCGAATATAGGAAGTCTCCGGGAACAGAGTGGTGCGTGGCCGTCTACTCCCTGTGCTTCATTTTTTCATTGCTGATTATTTTCCTCACCATCGCCAAGCTGTCTTCCATCTTTCCATTTTCTTTTGACAATGTGGTCATTAGCTTCAACATCCTGGCCGTGGCTATGTACGCAACTGCTGTTGTTATCTGGCCGCTGTATGCGTTTGACAATAACTCACGTCCAACAGATTGTAAACGCTGTCCGTGGGATAATCTGGTGGTGGTGACCTTCATGACCGTCATTAATTTCTTAGTATACATTGGAGATATGGCCTACTCTGTTAAAATAGTATTCTTTACCCAACATGGGCAAGAGTAACCCATGCCATATCTTTGGTTTAACATGAAAAAATAATGTATGTAACATGAGTAAGGATGTTATTGTGTACGGAGCAGCCATAAGCGAAATTTAGGCGAAATTTAGCGGGCAAAAAAGGTCCATTGTTTGTCAATAGTAGTAGGCCTATGCATGAAGCTACTTCCAAACTAAGCAGTTTCAACAAAGCGAAAACGCGTGTTTAATGTTGAACAAATGTGAATCTAATGCGGAAAATGTGCGCGAAAACATTTCTCCTCACGCGAAATACCAAATCGCTCGGATTGACGAAATTTCGCCATACAAATGTGGCCGCACCCTATTTTCAGTCACATTACGTAGAAGGTGGAGTACAGATGAGTTATTCATTCCCAGGGAGTCGCACATGGTTAATATTTATTAGTAAGTCATGTTTCGTGGGTTAGTTTTGAAACCATATGTAGCCTACTACCGGTACTACAGTATCGATTAATGTCACTCCGCAATAATATACTTGACTGTAACTTTGTACAGTGATTTTTATTTTTATATGTTACCAATCTTATTTTTGTCTGTTGTTGTACATTTTCGCAGAAAGCCGAAAGGTTGTATGATGTGAGAAATATTTAGAGACAAAGTAGAAGTTTTTGAGATTTCGAAGCTGTTTTTAATCTAAAGCCAGCGTAAACAGTCACAAAAAATGAAGAAATGGTCGAAGTTTACCCTGTTGATTTTAAGATAAAAAGATAAAAAACAACATATTTGTACCTTTTGTCTGTGTTTTATTTGTTATAATATTAATGACATTTTTATGTTACATTCTTTTTTAATTAACTAACATTTTTATTGACATTAACCTTGTCCATTAACATTGACATTTTTTTGGCTTTTTAACGTTATTGAAGAATCTTAATATAACTAAAGATAATCTAATAATTAGGAAACATTTTTTGCAATAATTCATTCTCCAAACATTAAAGCAGAACAGGACAACAAAGAAAATGTAAATAAAATAATTTTATTAGAAAAAATAGTTTTTTTTTCTTACGTCACCCATTTGTTTGCCATACATTTTTGTAATGTGTTTTTGTACATGAGTACACAGGTGTAAAAGTAAAACCATTATGATCCTCGGAAGAGAGTTTGTTTTTACTAATGTCAGTGAGAAAGTACAATAAAAAAAACAAAACATAAATATGGCCACAAATAAAGCCAGAGTAACAGGAAACATGGAGGTTCAAACTGTTCCAAACAATATTCTTCCATCCGTTAATATGGAACATAAATATTTTAATCCATGAAATATTTGACCATTCACCGTTTAAAAACCTTAACAATGACACAAAGCACACAAACAAAAAATCGGAAATGAAACTGTAGAAAACAGATGACTGAATATTTCATGCACCATATTGAGTATGTATTTTAAATGTTTTTGAAATACAAAACTGCAAAAACCATAAGTTAAAACATTCTGATTTCCAGTGTTATGTATACAAACAATAAGATAGATCCTAATGAGAGTGCAAACCAAAATATCCAGACATTGACAAAACTTAAATTTAAAATCTTAATATGTGTAACAATGGTTTTCCAGTCTCCAGTTGAGAGAGACAAGAGGTAGAGTTCACTGTTTCACGTAAACAGGTACATTTCAGCTGATTCTTCAGTTCAAGGCTTTAGTAGAGCGAGTCAGAGGTAAAACTGTCTTTCTGGTGTGGTAAAACAGCTCCTGACTTTTGTAGCAGTGCCTGTATTTTGAGAGCAGCTACTGCTACAGCTACTCTTTACTTTACGTCCTAATACATCAACACACCAGAAAACACACACTGAGTTCCATCTGATGATCTAAAATGACTCTCAAGGACGTCTGTGGGGTTTCTCTCATTGCTCACTAGCTGCTCTTGAGGCTGACAATGGCATTGATGAAGAACTCGTACCAGAAGAAGGTGAAGCCTGTGGACAGAGCGGCCTTCAATAGACTGGGGGAGAGACCCTTAAAGAAACCCCGGGGCCCTTCCTCTCTGCCGATCCTCACCACACAGTCTGCAAACCCATGATATGTCTGCACCTGCACAGAAAATACAGGAAATTAGTATTAAACTATTCAAGTGTTTTTGAAAGAAATCTCTTATGACTCTCTCTAATGCCTTAGGGTTTAGACATTAACAACAGTAATAGTGAAGTCAGTCTAGCAAGCAGAAATAGTTATCGTAGGGACATTGAACCTACAGTCTTTTGGTTATCAGCTCAGATCTTTAACCACTACAGCGCTCCACCCACCTGTCCAAACTTCATCCTGGCCTCTTCAAATCCACCCACTTGAAGTCTCTTCTTAATCAGATCAAAGGGATATGTGATTGTTTTACTGATGACTCCAGCACAGCTACCACTGATCAGACTGTGTAAACCTCCTGAAAACAGACAAGACACCACAGCAACGTCAACAGCGGGACAGAAAGCACCTTACACAAGGTTTGAATTCATAGATATGTGCTTTAAGGACAGTGTTGATATTGTCAACTAAAACTATTAGAAATGGCTTCCGCTGAAATAAATAATAAAATATAAATATTAGATGAGAAAAACTTGCATTTCAAAATATTAACTGAAAATGAGAGATGTTGCCGTCAACTAAATGAAATAAAATTTAACTGAAAAAGTTTGTTGAAGAGCTAAAACTACTAAAACTAAAAATGAAAAAAAGAGGAAAGCTAAATAAATGAATAAAAACAAATTAAAATGTAAAATACCACATAATGAAATCACTAAAACTTTTTAACTAAAATAAAAATGAAAATATAAAAATAAAAGCTAATTGGCTGAACTTTATTAAAGAAAACAAACAAATAAAGAAATAAAAGCTAATTCAAAATATGAATAAATATCATAATAGTACATACAAAACTGAAACAACACTGTTTAAAAAGCATGCTCTGACCTTTAGATTTGGTGTCCTGGGGCTCCAGACGTTTCTTCAGGATATTATAAAAGAAAAACTGCATGCCTGCGTATGGAAACACGGCCACTAGGGTGGGTGTGAGGCCCCTGTAGAAGGTGAAGGGCCCCTCTGTGCGGAACATTGTGGCCACGGCATGCCTGAGGTTACGATACATCTGTACATATGAGAAAACCTTTGAATTGTGGGAAGTTTCTCATTAAAGCCTACCAGAGTGGAATAATATATGACCTTTTAAAATGAACTCAGGTTTTATTACGTTTCATCCACCCTTTCAGATGCACTCAGACGCAGCACATTAAAAATATGTAGTAACAGGTCATATCACGCTCCTGAGGCTTGACCCCTGACCTTGGGTTCGCCCTGAGCAGCGAAGCGTGTGCGGAGGGTATCCAGCGGCTGGCAGGCGACGGTGGCGGAGCAGGCGGCCAAACCGCCGCAGATGAAATGCACTCCTGGTGTCTGGCTCTTATAGCTCGTCTTCTTATGGACCAGCTCTGTCAAGGCTTCAAAACTCGCAAACTACCACAAAAAAAGACAAAGAGAACCAATGAGGTTTAAGGGTATTTGTCAAATGTCTACAATTGTGTGAAGGATAATGACAAATGCTTGATCTATCTTTCTAAATTACTAAATAGGATAAGCCACATGTCTACATAGAATTGAATAGAATATAAGAAAAATTGAATATGAATTCCTTTATTGCTACAAGATCAAAACAGAATATAATAGAATATAACATTTACTGCTACATCAACAGACCAGCATTATTTATATTAACTAAAACTATAATAATTTTTTTTAAACATTTCCATTAACTGAAATAAAACTGAAATAAAACACTACATATTAGATGAAAAACTTTACAAAAATGTAAGCAAGAATTAGAAATGTTGATATAATTGAAATAAATGTTTATGTTTATTAAAATGACTAAAACAAAAACTGAAATAAAAATGAATTAGAAACGGAATAAAACAAATAAGTAAAAAAGAAATAAAAATGACACAAGCACATACAAAAACTACAAAAAGTAAAAATAAAGAAATATATACATAAGCAATTCAAAATGAACAAATAAAACATTGAAATAAAAATAAATGAAAGCTCAATTAGAAATATATATAAAAAAATAATAATAGAAGTACATAATAAAATCATTAAAATATTTGAATTAAAATGAAAATAATCACCAATTCGAAATATGAATAACTACTATAGTAGTATATGAATAATACTAAAATAACACTGATGAGGACAAAATGTATCTTTATCTCAACAGAATAGAATAGAATATTGTTTGCAACAAAATCATAGCAGAATAGAACAGAAGAGAAACTTTTTCTACCCTTACAATAGGATCAGTTTACAGTTTGTGGCTTAATAATGGAACAGGAAGATGATTCTGGCCTCATGAAAATGTTACTTATATTGTGAATATATATGATTTATCTCCACATACCTGAACTGCCCCATAACACACAGACAGCAGCTGGGCAGGAATGTGACCTTTCCAGAAAGCAGGAAGTCCTTCTTCAGTCATAATACAGCGTGTGGCCTGCCATAAACCCCAGTACTTCCCCTGGCGACTCCTCCAGGACACCTGCTCGATCTGCAACTGCAGCATGCACAAAACAGTCAAAACGGTCCTGCTGTGTCACAATAAAGACCAGTTTGAATGTCTAAAAGTGTAACACACTGCCACCTTGAGGCCTGTCCACCAGTTGCTATGGCAGAGAAACTACAAACTAAATCAAGCACAAAACAGCTCATCGGCTGCATCTTCTGTGTGCATTTATAACCAGTTTAAAGCAGATTAACAGGCCTCTTTGAACTGAGCATGCTCAGTGCAGCCGTGGGTTTGGGAGTGGTGCTAAAATTCCACGGGAAAACGTGACTCATGTTTTAAGCACGATGAAGCTTATGCGAATCAGATGTACTAGAACAGGGACTATTGCAGGGGTGGCGAACGTTGGTCCTGCAGAGTTTTGCTTCAACCCTAATCAAACACACCTGAACAAGCTAATCAAGGTCTGAACAGTTACTAGGAAGCTACAGGCAGGTGAGTTTTTATTAGGGTTGGAGCTGAACTCTGCAGGGCTGAGGCTCTCCAGGACCGGAGTTCGCCACCCCTGGACTATTGTGTTAGCTATCGATGAAAACAACTTTAGTTGAATGTGTTAATATTTATGCTTTCATGTACAGAAAAACAGTTCGGAAACCCAAGAGCCCTTTGGCTCAGTGAAATGGAAGTTGTTACCTGAAATCTGATTTTGATGACATCCAGAGGGCTGATGAGGGCACGGGTGACCATACCTGCCGCTGACCCGGCCAGAGCAGCTTCCTCTGGGGAGAGAACCACGCCGGGGGAGTCTGGATCATAGCCCACCATTCCTG